ACCCACCGGGGCGTCGGACCCGCCGGCATCCTCTGCGACAACCGCGCTCATCACTGCCCCACGTCCTCCTGCTGGGCGCTCCTACACAGCGTGGCTGGGCGGCCATGCCGACCACGACCACGGACGAGGTTACGCTGCCCCGGCCCGGCCGGGCGGGCATGCTGGCCAAGGCGGCTCACAGCGCACTGGCCGTCGCCGCGCCCGCGGTGGCCGCGGCCGCAACTAGCAATAGTAGGTCTCCAACACTGGAGGTGGCTCTTGCTCCCTGGCACCGTTCTACAACCCATGGACGGGCACCGTGCAGCTCTGGCCGTGTTTGTCGGCCGGTCCGGGGACGCCGTTTTGACCTCCGCCGGCTGCCTTCACTGCTGTTCCTCAGCCGCAATAGCAGTACATACAGCAGCCATACGTGCAGCAGCCGTACACCCTCGGACCTCCTCCAGGGTTCGGCTACGGTGGACCATTGCCGCCACAGCAGCAGCAGCAGTGGACGCCCATGCAGGGCGCGTCCTGGGACCTGTCCGCCCTCGTCAGCAACTTCAACACCATGACGCTGACGCCCCCTTTATCAGCCGAGTGGTACATTGACTCCGGCGCCGGTGCCCATATGGTCAACAACGCTGGTATTCTTTCTACCTTTCACCATCCTTCGTCATCTACTCCTTCATCTATCATTGTTGGTAACGGAGCTTCGCTTCCCGTTACATCTATTGGGTCACACTCATTCTCCACCACACGACGTCCTCTTGTTCTTTCTGATGTTTTAGTATCACCAAACATTATTAAGAATTTGATTTTCGTACGTCGTTTCACCACTGATAATAATTGTTCCATTGAGTTTGACCCGTTTGGCCTCTCTGTGAAGGACCTTAAGACACGGAGCGTGATCGCCAGGTGCAATAGCACGGGTGATCTCTACTCGTTCTTCCCAGCACCATCCAGCACTCCCACTGCCCTCGCTGCCACCGCGTCATCCACCTTACTCTGGCATCGTCGCCTTGGTCATCTCGGACATGCGGCTCTTTCCAAGCTTATTAGTTCCAATGCTATTTCATGTAATAAGCGCCATATTGATCATGTTTGTCATGCCTGTCAGCTAGGTCGCCATGTGCGCCTACCTTTTAGTGTGTCACACTCTCGCGCTGCACATCCTTTCGATTTAATACGTTGTGATCTTTGGACTTCTCCAGTTGTTAGTATGTCGGGATATAAATATTATTTCGTCATTCTTGATGACTGCACTCATTACACCTGGACGTTCCCATTATGCCTCAAGTTCGATACTTTCAGTGTTCTTTCTAACTTTTTCTCATATGTGCGCACGCAGTTCGACTCCACCATCAAGGCAGTTCAGTGCGACAACGGCCGCGAGTTTGACCACTCCTAGGCCCACACGTTCTTCCTCACTCATGGAGTCATCTTCCGGATGTCGTGCCCATACACCTCTCAGCAGAACGGACGTGCCGAGCGCACCCTTCGCACCGTGAACAACATCATGCGGTCCCTTCTGTTTCAAGCCGGCCTTCCTCCGGTTTATTGGGCTGACTCACTACACACTGCCACCTACCTTCTCAATCGTCACCCCACCAAAACCCTAGACGGCCGCACCCCTTTCTTCGCTCTTTACGGCACACAGCCTTCCTACACTCACCTTCGAGTTTTCGGCTGTGCCTGCTATCCCAACCTCTCGTCCACAGCTCCACACAAATTATCACCTCGCTCCTCCTTGTGTGTTTTCCTCGGGTACTCATCCGATCACAAAGGATATCGATGTCTCGAGCTTCATTCCAATCGGATCATTGTCTCCCGTCACGTTGTATTCGACGAAACTTTGTTTCCGTTCTCCGAGATGTCCACCACCCCCCAGGACCCAAACACACTTGCGTTTTTGGATGATGCTGATGATTCCTCTTCGCCTATGTGGCCAAGAGCTGTGCCTGCAGGTACTCGTCTCCCTGGTGGCATGGATGCCGCACCTGGGACCCCTGGCGTCCCCTCACCCAGTCTCCCTGGTGGCCTGAATGCCGCACCTGGGAGCCCCCGCGCCTTTCAACCGGTGCCTCGGTCACTGAAACGATGGCAGGTGCTACCGCGGCCGCCTCAGGTGGTGCCCCTCCCACTGGTCCGGCTGGTGCTGCTGCCCCTGCGGACTCAGCGTCCCAGGTTGTTGCCAGCGGCGTCGGATGGACCACCAGCCGCACCACCACGACGGCCCTGGAGGCGATCGTTCCTGTCACTAATGCGCACAACATGCGCACCCGTGGCAAGGACGGTTTTCGGCAATCTGTGGATCGCCTTAATCTCCACACGACGGCTACGGCTACCACTCCAGTCCATTCGTCCGTCCGTGCAGCTCTCTCGGATCCAGCCTGGCGTCTTGCTATGCAGGCCGAGTTCGACGCCTTGCAGCCAAATGACACCTGGACCTTGGTGCCTCACCCTCCTGGCGTCAACCTTGTCACCGGCAAGTGGGTTTTTCATCACAAGTTCAAGTCCGATGGCTCTCTTGACCGCTACAAAGCCCGGTGGGTGCTTCGTGGCTTCACACAGCGTCCGGGCATTGATTATGATGAGACCTTCAGTCCAGTTGTCAAGCCAGCAACCATCAGGATGGTACTCACTTTGGCACTGTCTCGCTCCTGGCCGATTCACCAGCTTGATGTCAAGAATTCATTTCTTCATGGCACTTTGACTGAGATAGTCTCATCGCACAGCCGACTGGGTTTGTCGACTCTTCCAAACCCACTTATGTCTGTCGCCTGAACAAGTCACTCTATGGGTTGAAGCAAGCTCCTCGCGCCTGGCACAGTCGCTTCGCTTCTCACATTACCTCACTCGGGTTTGTTGAGGCCAAGTCCGACACGTCGCTGTTCATCTACTGCAAAGGTGCTGACATGGCTTTTCTTTTACTCTATGTTGATGACATTGTTCTCACTGCGTCGTCTCCGAGTCTCCTTCATCGGATTATCACAGCACTTCGTCAGGAATTCTCCATGACAGACATGGGGCCTCTTCACCATTTTCTGGATGTCAGTGTTCAGTGCAGAGGTGACAATTTATTTCTCTCTCAGAGGCAATACATGCTGGACATTCTGGACCGCGCCGGTATGAGTCACTGCAAGCCGAGCAGCACTCCTGTTGACACTCACTCCAAGCTTTCGGCTGATGGTGTTTTAGTCGCTGATCCAAGTCAGTATCGCAGTCTTGCCGGGGCTCTTCAGTACCTCACCTTCACCAGACCAGACATTGCGTATGCTGTTCAGCAGATCTGCCTGTACATGCATGACCCGCGGGAACCTCATTTGAGCGCTCTGAAGCGCATTCTCCGGTACCTTCAAGGTACATTGGATCTCGGTCTCCAGTTGATCTCACTGTCTACACCGATACAGATTGGGCGGGCTGTCCTGACACACGTAAATCCACCTCGGGTTATGCGGTGTTTCTCGGGGACAATCTCATCTCCTGGTCGTCCAAGCGTCAGTCTACAGTGTCTCGGTGCAGTGTAGAGGCGGAATATCGAGTAGTCACGAATAGAGTCGCCGAAGCCTACTGGTCGCGCCAACTTCTGATAGAGCTTCGCTGCCCACTCCGTCGTGCTACAGTGGTCTACTGCGATAATGTCAGCGCCGTTTATCTCTCCACCAACCCGGTTCAGCATCAGCGAACCAAGCATATTGAGATCGACCTGCACTTCGTTAGAGAACGAGTCACCCTCGATCAAGTCCGTGTTCTGCACGTTCCCACTTCGTCCTAGTACGCCGACATCTTCACCAAAGGTTTGCCGACGTCCGTGTTTACGGAATTTAGGTCCAGTCTCAATGTTCGTGGTGCTCCCAGTTCAGACTGCGGGGGAGTGTTGCAATGTAATATGGCATGTGGGCCTGCCCAGCTCCCCACAATGACTATATATGTAAACGCTAATCATTCATAGTAATGTATCAAGTATTCCCTAATCTTAGTCTTTCAGATATTAAGGAACACTGCTAGAGATTATTAAGAGGATAAGAATTCTTTTGAAAACATGAAGAGTATAAGAATCTCTAACAGTATTATTAAGAGGATAAGGCTTTTTTTTTCTCCGGCAATTTCGCACAATGGTACTCCTTTGGGTCAGTGGCCACCAAAAAATTACTCTGTCTCCTTTCATATAGGAGATGTAAATTAAAGGGCACGGGGACAGGACGAGCAGGATGAGCATGTGGTGGTCTTCACCACATTAACAAACAGAAGCTGGACGAAGGGGAAGGGATGATCTTCAGTCGTCACAACGCTAATGGTAGAATACACGATGACTGAAATATCTGAACTCTCAGAGAAGAAGACAAGCAACCAGGTGGGGATCGTTCTGAAGTCTGAACATGGCAAGCGCAAGGTTTAGCGTCGAACGCAACACATTCAGATTGAACTCACGCGCTGAATTATGTCTATTATTAGTACAGGCAATGGAAATGGCAATTACACGTACGCCGGTACGCGTCAGTGCAAAATCTTCAGCAAGGCAATTGCAAGAACAGATCATCGGTTACATCGCATTACATTACGAACTCGATATCTGTAAAGTTTACAAGCAGAGAAGCTAGATGAACATTGTCACCGTCTATCTTCTGATGCATACATGGTAAATCAATCTCTACAGCTAGGGAAAGCTACACTTTGATGCACAAAAATTCGCGTGCAGCTTTAACCGGAACACACGCAGCAGCCATTTCTGCTAGCTAGCCCTGTCAACACGTCAGGTATGGAAGCTGGAGGGGATCAGATCCTTGAAGAAGGCTGCTGCATCCTGTGTACAACGTCGTCGGCGCGTAGCTGCTCCATGGTATGCTTGTTGCTGTTGTCATGCCACCGCTCCACTGGCCGTACATTGTCTCCGGGCCGAGCCCGAGCATATCGTCGACGGTGGCTTCCGCCACCACGGGCACCAACAGACCGCACGGCATCTGGATGAACTCGCCGCCATGCCCCGGCGGCGGCTCGACGATCGGCTGCTGCGGCTCACCTCACAATAACCACTCCACGGTGAACTCTTCGTGCTCAGACTGTCGTTGCACGGCAGTCTCCGGCTCGGCGATTGGCTGCTGCAGTCCCTGCTCTGGCTCGTCTCGCAGCATGCTCTCGTCCACGTAGAAGTTTATGTCCTCGATGTTGAAGTTGAAGTCGCCGCCGTGCTCCGACTCCACGCCTTGTGGCTGATAGCAGGCGGTAGTATCCTGCTGCACCTGTTCTTGCTGCTGGATCGACTTGGCCGGCGGCGCCTCGGGGTGCTCACCGCCGCCGGCCTTCCTCTTCTTGGCCGTCTGCTTGGACGAGGACTTCTTGCTAGAGGAGGACGCCGATACCGGCGCCGACTTCCCTTTCGCGCGAGGCGAGCGGTAGACCTTGCAAAGCACGTAGTTGCTGCTGTCGGCGGCGGCTTCGTCTTGTTTCTTGTCGGCGGCGACGAAGTCGTATTCCACCATGCACCACCCCATCCTGTCGATCGATCGAGCGGAGGGCTCCGTCTTGCGGCCGTATGAGAAGGTGCAGAACGTGCCGCCACCGGATCCCTGGACGTCCTTGCGCCTTATCTCCGAGTGCCAGCCCGTGCCGCCGCCGCCGGTGACCGCGCGCTGCCTGTGGCCGCTGGTGTCGCCTCGGGCGTTCTTGTATTTCTTGGCGTGGTAGAAGTACCAGATCCTGCTGTAGCCGTCATCTTCGGCACCGGTGCCCGGCACCGGCTCCAGGTCGGCGACGAGAACCTCAGGAACGGCATCACAGACATCGACGTGATGGACGAAGTGGACGTGGTCTCCGGCGCGGACGCGGTGCAGGAGGGCGATGGAAGCCTTATTGTCGGTGGAGCGGCTATCGTCGTTGGAAGCCATGTCGCCGAGATGCAGCTGCTGGTGGATCGACGACGACGATCGACTGATCGGAGGAGGCGTGCGTCGCGTGCGTGAAGGTGAAGAAAGCACGCGTTGGAGGCAGAGGTGGGAGGGAGCGCGCTTCCGCTATATATAAAGCACACGCCGGAAGCGTAATCTTGCACGGATGGATGGATCGATTTTGGTTCCTTTGCCGCGATTTTTTTTTCGACAAAAACAAGTAATCGGGTTGTTTTCGATTCCTATTCCATCTCTGAACTGAAACCAACCGAACCGTGCCGCCATTCCGACGACCGTGCCCGAACCCCAATCAAGGGCACTCGATCGCCTCCTGTCGTCATCGATTTCGATTCATTTCGTGCATTCCGTTCGATCGATTTCGAATCTTTTCCCGTGATTTTCAACAAACAGTTACTCCGTCTCTAAGTCTGAAACCAATCAATTTTGAGCAGTGGATCGACCCTGAGATCAAGCCGGAAGACAAGGAGTGGATGTGGAAGCTGTTGCGGTGAGAGATAGAGGACAATGAGATGATGGAGAAGAGACGCAAAGGAGAGGCTGTAGAAAAGGAGCACAAAGAAGAGGAGGATAGGAGGCGTGTTACTGCGTATAAGGAGGAGAGGGAGAAGAAGCTTGAGCGTGCGTGCCGAGCGAAGGCATTGATGGAGGAGAATCCCGATGCCCTGAGGAAGGAAAAGTGGCCTCGTTGCACTCAGTAGTCTGCATGACTTGCTAGTTCTATGGTTTATTCATGAACAAATTTATGCAAAAATTTTCTGTAGAGTTTTCTTTGTTTTTTGATGCAAACCAAACAAAAATATGACACAAATATATGCATTCCATACATGCACATTCATCTCAATCCATATATATGTGACCATATTGATAATGATGATGATGATGATGAATCAAGAGATGATGATCAATCTTCCTCCTTCATCTCCAACCTTGATGAAGAATCAATCAACCTTATCAACAAGGTGGAGAAAATGATCCAAAGGCTCAATATTAAGGGTGTGCCCATCCAAATCGAAGATCTCATTTTCACCGATCAAAGAAATGAGTAAAGAAAGAGAGGATGCTATGGATGCGGCGAGTTGGGGCACTTTGTGGAAGTTTGTCCAAATAAGCCCACACCCAAGACAAAGAAGGCATGCAAGAACCAAGCCATCAATAAAGTCATGGGATGATTCTTCAAGTGAAGAAAAACACCATCATAAGAGCCGAGGACGCAGCACTCATCATCAAGCTCTTCTCGTAGGTGCCTTATGGCACGAGGTAACGAAAGCTCATCCTCTAGTAAGAGTGATAGTGATGATGAAATACCTTTTTATGATAAAATTGTGCAACAAAATCTTAATTATGCTAAAGTTTGCGCTAGTCAATAAAAGAAGCTCGAAAAGTTAAAAGAAAAGCTATATAGTTTACAAGAAGCATACAAAACTTTGCTTGAACAATATGATAACTTTGTTAATCTCAATGTTGAACTATCTACTAAAATTGAGCAACTTAAGACTAGTGCAACAACAAATGCATGCACAATCAATGATGAGCAACTTGTAAAGAAAAATGAAAAATTAAAAAAAAAGTTAGCTAGCTCACAAGATGCTTATAAAAGTTTGCTTGCGAAAATGGAAACCATGTGCAAACATTGTGATGAGCTAACTAATAAAGTTGTTAATCTTGAAGTCGTTAGTACAACCTCCACTAAGGCATCTAAAAAGAAAAGTTCTCTCTTCAACATGTCTAAAAAGGATGCCTCAACTTCTTACAATGATTTATATTTAGACTCATCTTTGTGCAATCTAGTTTGTGTTGAGAAAGTTGTTGTAGATACATGCACACAAAAGGTTACAAAGGAGAATGAGCAACTCAAGCAAGAAGTAGCCCGCCTCGCCAAGGACTTGACTCAAGTAAAAGGCAATGTGAAGCAAGCCCAACTTCATCGAGATAACACCATCAAGAGAGTGAAGAATCTTAATAAAGGACAAACCGTGGTTTGCTACGTGTGCCACAAGGAAGGTCACAAGTCCTATAAGTGCAAGGTGAAGAATGGGGGGAGCAAAGAACAAAGAGAAGAAGCAAACACGCAAGCTCTCCAACACCTACACCAACATGGTGGACAAGAAGGCCTCCACACCATACTTGTTAAAGAAGAAGAAAAATGACAAAGTGGTGGCCATCAAGGTGAATAAGCAAGCCATCAATGGGGTCAAACGCTTTTGGGTGCCAAAGGAAATCATCTACAACATGAAAAGCACCAAGAAGGTTTGAATCCCGAAAGAGAAGTGAGAAGTCAAATGGACTTCGGGGAATTTGGAGACTTGGCAAAGTATGGGTGTATTTCATGGGGTGCATCATGATGGACAAAATAATTGCCAAGTGGGTTAGTGAATACTATGGACCCAAATTCCCCTTCCCATGTTAGGTAACTAGATTCAATTTCTTTTAAGTAGTATCAATTTGCATTTCCTACAAGTGGTATTTCTTAAAAATTTGTATCTTTAAGCATTTAGTTATTTTTCATGCCTATGTTTGCATTTGCATGCTTATATCTTTTGTCATGCATACACTAGGTATATCTTATGGTAGGCTTGCTCGGTTTCATTCTTAACCCTTGGAGCAAACCTACATGGTTTAAAATTGTTTAGGAGCACGGCACATAACTTATCTTTTGATTGTTCATCTAATATGTGCCAAAGTCCAAATTGTAGATAATTTCTCCTAAATATCATTTTCGAAAATGATTCTCACATTCATGAGATGTCATCTTTCAAGTGGTATTATTGATTCTAAAATCAATGTGCATGACTTCTACAAGTATCCCACACTTGTGTGCACAAATTTAGGGAGAGAATACTCTACAAGTTGGATGTTTTGAGACTAACACATTTTCAAGCTTATCATGTATGTAGTAGTCTCATTGCAAGGAAAATAGAGTCCCCAAAGTTAAGCATCATACTTCAAATATCCACCACCTATTGCAAATGGTAGAAATCAAATTGGTTTCTACATGTGGTATTTCTAAAACGATATCATCATGTTGATTTTATTTTGATATTTATATATTTTCTCCATGCATTATATAGATTAAATTCCCTTGAACAATAATTTGCCAATTATGCATATGCTTTGTCTTCTACCATATGTATGTATATATTTAGGGGGAACTTAGTCTATATAATGTGAGAATCAAATTTTGTGACCTTTTTCACTCTACACAAAGGATCACAAAGTTTGACCCTCCGTTGTGCTACTAATGTCTTCCTTTTTGGTGTTTGATTCCAAAGGGGGAGAATTTATAGGACCAAAAGCAAGCATTTATTTATAGGACCAAAAGCTAGATCATAATAATTTACAAGTGGTAATGGTTTATAAGTGGTGTCTACAAGTGGTAATAGTCCGAGAAAGGGAGGATAGTGGATTATGGGTTAGCCTATGTAATGGGGAGATTTTGTAGGAAGCAAGGCTTAAATCCATAATACCATATGGGGATTTTTGTAAGGGCAGGATAAGTTTTCAAGTAGTATCTTTTAGTCTTACAAGTGGTACCATTTAGCATCATATAATCTTGCCCTTATGCATTGTATCCTAGCAAGTAGGTAGTTTTCTAAATTCAAAATTTTATTATTTGCTTGATTTGATCGTGTTGTCATCAATCACCAAAAAAGAGGAGATTGTAAGGAAAATGGACTATAGGTCCATTTACTTTTGATTTTGGTGTTTGATGACCAACACAACTAAATTGGACCAATGAATTTGGAAGTGGTTATTTTGTAGTTTAATAGGGTGCAAGACGTGACTTGGACGAAGGCGAAGTGATGATCCGATGATCAACACCATAAGCAAGATCTTAGAAGCACAAGAAAAGACCCAAGATATCAAGCAAAGTCTAAGCACGAAGATAGGAACCAAGCCGGACGCAAGATCACGAAAAATAGAGCTCACAGAGGTGACTGGACGCCGGACCGGACGCTGGCGGAAAGCAACCGGACGCTCCGATCAAGAAGCTCGGCAACAGGCGTCAGCAGCAGCGACCGGACGCTGGCGGCAAATCGACTAGACGCAGAGCTGTACCGTCCGATCGAGTACAGAGAGGTTCCAGAGCGGCGAAATTACGACTGGACGTGTTCGGTGGCAGGTGACCGGACGCTGGCAGCGTCCGATCAGTTGATCGTGGCTCCAACGGTCGGGACGACCGGACGCGTCCGATCAGGACGACTTCAGCGTCCGGTCAGTAGCAGAAAAGCGGGATTTCGTCCCCAACGGCTACTTTCTCAGTGGGGCTTATAAATACAACCCTCAACCGGTCAAATGAGAGGTGTGGAGCTGAGAAAACATATCAAGGGTGTTGATACACCATCTTAGTGATCTCCACTTGCATAGTGCTTAGTGTTTCATTAGGTGATTAGCATAGGTGTTTTGCAATGTGCTTAGTTTGATTAGACCATCGCTTATGCGCTTGCTCTAGGTTTAGGCCTTGTGTTTAGTGAGGTTTGCATACCTCTTATCACTCGGTGCTTGCGCGCACCATTGTTGTACATCGGAGGGGCTTGTAATCTTGCAAGATCACACCAACCGCGTTTGTGGTATGGCCGCCACCGTGTATCGGAGGGAACAAGGCCTACGACGTTTTGGCCGGAAGCTTGATAGTGAAGACGGCAGGGAGCATCCAGGAGAGGCTTACCGGAAGGCACGTCGGAGACCCACTTGCGCGTGGGGAAGGTCCGAGGCTATCCACGGAGTTACCCGACTGGAAGCTTGGCCTTGCGAGGGATTCCTTGCAAGGGGCTCCAACGAAGAATATGGGGAAGCTTGCGCGCTTCTCGATACCTCGGTAAAAATACCGGAGTCGTCGATGGGAGTTTGCATATCTCTACCTTGCTCTTTAACTTCCGCATTTACATTCTTTGTATTACTCTTTTTTGCGGTAGAGATAACAACACACTAGCAAAACCATACTTGCACATTTAGATAGTTTATCTTATGTATAGGTTTTG